CAGCGGCCGAGGACCGGCTGGAGGGCAGAGCCGGCAGCAGCGCGCCAGCCCCGACCCCGGCCGCGACACGAGGGCAGCAGCGCGGGCGGCCGGGCGCTCGGGAGACCAGGCCGGGCGCTCGGGCCTGGCGCAGCAGCGGGAGGGCCGCGGGGGCAGGGCAGGGCAGAGCAGGCCAAGCGGGTCCCACGGGCGCGGGGAACGACTCCGCATAACGCGCTTGCCGCAGGACCAGATCCGCGCCCGCTCGGGAAGCGAAAGCGGCGCGGCCCATGATGTATTCATGTCCGCATCAGGCCGCATTTAGGCGTCTCCTCTATACATTTGTTCGGGGTGAACCTGAGCAGCCCCTCGCGGGCCGGGGGCACCGCGGCGGCAGCTGAATCTCGGGGGAGCCGGCCTCTCGGCGCGGGGAGGCCCGGCCTGTGCGTCCCAGTGGCCGGGCTCCTCGGCAAAGCCTGCCCCCGGCCCTAGTGGAGGGTTATTTTTCCCCGTCGCCTTGAGCCCCCGGCCCGGCCCGCCGCCCTTACCTGCGGTTCTGGTACCAGGTCTTGACCTGCGTGTCGGTGAGGTTGAGCGCGGCCGCCAGGTCCATGCGGTCCTGGACGCTCAGGTACTTCTGCCGCTCGAAGCTGCGCTCCAGCTGGTTGAGCTGGTGGTCCGAAAAGGCAGTCCGCGCCTTGCGGGGCTTCTTGGCTCGCACCGGGGGGCTGTCCCGGCTGCTCGTGATCTCGCGGTCGCCTTCCTCCTTTGTCCCTGCGAACAATTCACACGCGCGGCTCAGTGCTCGCGGGCCGGGCTGGGGACGGGGCGCCCGCGACCCCCTTCCCCCAGCCCCGGGGGCTGCCCCCATCAATGGCAATTCCAGCGGCCAGTGGCCTGCCCCGCCCCGGGACACCCGGGCCGCGCTGGGACAAGGTCCTGGTGACCGCGCCGAGCGTTGCGGAGTCTATTTGTCAGCTCGGGTTTCTCGCCGCGCCGCCGGGAGATCGATACGTCAATCCAGCTCTGTTTGTACCAGTTTTTGCAACGCTCCTGATCTTCCCTGCAGGAAGAACAATAATCTCCCTAATTGACCCACTGGGGAGGACGGTGCACACACGCACACACAAAAATCGCCAGCCCAGGCTGCTCCATCTGGCTCGGGCCCCGCCTGCACAGGCGAGGCAGCAGCTCGCCGCGGCGCCCGGGAGCGGCTCTCAGCTCTCGCATCGCCGAGCAGCCGGGGGGGCCACACGACAGAGATGTGTCCCCTCAGGTCCCGGCCTCGGGACACCCCGGCTGGCTCCCCCGCCACTCACCCCCAGGTGTGGGCACCTCGCTGCCCCGCCGCCCAGCCGGGCCACGGGCCTGAGATTTTAGGAGAGGAGGGAAGAAAAAAGCGCGAGTCTTTCTGAAGGCGCTCGGGCACAAACAGGAAGTTTTCGCCTTCCCGTAGCCCGGCTCGGGAACCGGGGCCTTAATTACGTGCCCCGAAAGCCCGGCGCGTGGTGTTTGCACAACACGGGAGTCATTTCATCGCATTTGCATTTGAAAATAAATACATTCGTTACAAAAAAAAAACCAAACAACAACACGCGGTTATTTCGGGTTATTTTTTTCCTCCTTCTCAAAATAATGAGCGCGAGAGGGAGAAGGGCAGAGCTCGGGGGAGAGGCGGGGGCTTATTTGGTGGAAAGAGCAGGCAGGGACACGAGCGCGGCAGAGCCGGCGTCTGGGCGCGCTCCGGGTCCCCTTCCCAAGCGAGCAGGCCGGAGCTGGGCCGCGGCCGCGGGTCTTGGCCCCATATCTGCCCCGTGCCGAGGAGGGCAGAGCAGCGGGCTCCGCGGGGCGGCCGCACCTACTCACCGTGGCATTTGAGCTCGCTCTGCGGGTCGTCGCGCTTGTCGAGTTTGGCTTTGCTGTCCTCCTGCTCTAGCTTTGGCCTGAAGCTCTCGCTGGCGGCGTTGCCTTCTTGCTTCGGGGTGTGGTGGGGAGAGGAGACGCTGGTGCTGTAGGGCGCACACGCCGCCAGCGGTTTGCTGTCGCCCAAAATGTCTTTAATTAAGAAGGAAGAGGTGGAAGTCCGGGGGGCAGAGCCAGCCGAGCCCAACTGCGGCGGCGGCGGCTGGGGCGAGCCCTGCAAACTTGGCGGCGGCGGCGGCTGGCCGTGGTGGAGGTGGTGATGCTGCGGGATGCTCTCTGGGACCAGATGCGGCTCGGGGTGCTCCATGGTGACCGAGATGGGCGAGGAAGGCGCCGTCCCCACCGTGTCTATCTCCGAGCAGGGGGACGGGGTGGCCTGGGCTCGAAAATCCGCCGTCCTAGCCTCGCTGTGCTGGCGGAAGTCTCCGTTCATCACGCCGGGGCTGCCCGAGCTGGCATTAGACAAAATCGTGTCTATCCCAAAGCTGGACCCGCTAGATCCTTCCATCGCGGCCATTCAGAGCGGCGCCGTCATCCCGGTCCTCCAGCCGGGGCTCCCTGCGCGGCCGAAGAGCAGCCCCGGCCAACGCGGATCGATAAATAAAAGCGCAACGAGGGTGTCAGTGCCTTTACAACAAAAAAGGAAGGGGGAGGGGGCCGGGGCTGGCACCTGCGGCAGGGGCAGAAGCAGTCACCGGGGGAGAAAAGAAACAACCCCCCTCCCCCGAAAAAAGCCCGGCAGCACGGGGAGAGCACGGGGGAGCCGGGGCGCGGGGACAGGGCGGCAGCGCGAGGCGCGGATCACACGTGCTGCGGCGGGGCTGCTCACTGGGAGCTACGGGGCGACCGGGCTGCCTCGGGACACTGCATCGCACCGGGCGGGAGCAGGGGCACAGGG